CTCTCTCTCTCTCTCTCTCTCTCTCTCTCTCTCTCTCTCTCTCTCTCTCTCTCTCTCTCTCTCTCTCTCTCTCTCCCCACAAGGAACTCCTTTGCACACCAGATAAAATCAGCAGCCCAATCCCTAGCTGAAAGCAGTTGATCTGGTTAGTACAGATGACAAGTTTGATGATCCGTCAGCATAACCCTAAATCCATCACCGTCATCCACAAAATGGTGACTCGCTAATTCTTGACAATGCTGGACTAACCATATCCAGCATTCTCCACAACATGCGGTTCTTGAAATGCATTTCAGGATTGGAAAGAGGATTTATTCAGAGCAATCTGAGAGAGTTATCCAGCGAAAGGTGACTGGAGTCGGCAAAAACGGCGAACTCCCCAGGGGAGTGATTGTCTTTGCCACTTCTGGGCTCTTTGTCTGGTGTGGTCATATTCTTCCATCTTCACCATTACCTGCGGCTGAGCCTCCGGCAACTTGCAAATGATGCAGAAGAGCTGTGACTCGTTCAAGCTCACCACCCAATGCACCTCCTCATTACTTTTCCGCTCCGCAGCAGAGCTGCCAATTCCAAGTGCCACATCAACAACCACACCATACACATGCAAAGCACCCGATCAGAAAGCAAAACAGCCAAAGGTATGGATGAAAGGAAGACCACACATTGGGGGGAAAGGATAGCGTAACTGATCTGGTCATGGGAATCCAGGCCCTGTATACCAAATAAATCAGTAAACTTCCCTTCCAAGTAGAGGACTCAATGCCCTCTACAAATAATAATACACGACGGTTATACGAACTAAGTTCAAATAGCAAGATTTTAAATAGTGAGCTAGTCCAGGTCCAAGCATGGTGAAGATTATGATGATCTTGGAAAAGAAGACGGACTGGGAAGGATGACCTAGTCCCAAAGGTGAACGACACAAGAAACACAAGTTCTGACTGTCATCGGGCTGCCGGACTATCGCTCCCCAGAATGGATATGGAGCCAGAGGAGTAAGGTTCTGCTTTCTTAAAAATTAAAAGAAAAAACAGAGGGAGTAAGGTTCTGCTTTCTTAAAAATTAAAAGGAAAAACAGAGGGACTGGGAAGGCTAACAGGAGGGTATCAGCAAAACCTTGTGTTAAATCAGCACTACCACCTGGCCTCTTTTTGCCGAGGTGGAAAAGAACTCCGCGCCAAGCTTTGTTGAAGTGCCACCATGGCGTTTTTTTTCCCTTTTGAGTCTTGACTGGTGCCGCCAGCCATTGTGCTCCCATAGCACTGTTCATCTGAAGAACCCGGAATGTTACTTTTTGTTTTCTGTATATTACTATGCCTGGGAAAGGTAGTGGTGGCTTAAACTCGGGAGAGGCGTTCCCAATCAAAGCCCCATCATCCACAGCATACCGGCCAGTATACAGGGTAGCCACAGGTCTACCCACTTTCTGTGGTGACATGCACGATTTTTCATTGTGAACAGCCAACCACGGAATCTGCTGCCACCTGCGGTCTTCCTGTGACCTGGGTGATTGGGTAGGGACAACAGGCGGTTAAGAAAGCTGGTTCACGAGAAGCGAAGAAATTCTGACGTGGCCAGAATTCTCTGGACTCGACTGGATCGTCAACCACTATGGCTGCAGCTGGATCTTGAGACAGAGAAGCATTGTAAATGGAATTCTGTGCTCAAGTGGCAACCTAAGTCAATGTTGGATCAAATACTTTTCATTGTTTTCAATTTTTCATCAAAGCTTGCACTTCCATGCAAAAACGGAGCCTCAAGTGGGGACTCCATCCTTTTTACACAAACTTCTCACCTGAGTTTTTTCAGTGCATCCTTGGATCCACAGTCTGCCAAGTGGGTTAGCGGCTCCTGACCAGGGGTTCAGGGTTCAGGTTTTAAACCACCAGTACGTTTCCCCGCTTGAAAACTAATGTGGCTGGTTTGTGGGCTTTGGGGGGTTCGGGGACCGGAGCAAATGGCTGGCGACGCCAGCCAAATGCAGGCCCACGTCGGTTGTTTTTTTCTTAGTGCGCATTGCGCAAGGCAAACTTAGGCTCGGCATCAATAGCTGGACGAGGTACTGGTGGTTTAAGGGTTCTGGGTCTCAGGTTTATGGTTTGGGATACACAAGTTAAGGCTCGAGTACACCTCACTATGATATGTAGGACAGATCGAACACATCCACCTCTGAAAATTGATATGGGTCTGAGTATGTCTACCTACGGTAGGCAGTATTAAATGCAGGCATCTAGCCCTTGAGATGGAGCTGTGATCAGCTTGGTAATGCCCATGGCAGGCTGACAAAGAAAGTGAGCCCAGAAGCTCCTGCCACTTTGCTTGACAAGGTGATCTGTGGCTTTTGCATCTACAATTGGATCTCTATGGAGGCGGCTAGAAAAGTGGTGTCCATGCAAACATGTTATGATCCAAAGCCAACAATAAAATGGAGCAAATTGATAACATAGGATCATACAATTCATACCTGAATACTGGCACCCAGCTTCCGCCATAGATGTCAAAGAGGACACGCAGAACTCCCTGCCCTCAGGCAACACAACCACACCAAGAAGAGAGAAGCCAGTAATGAGTACCAAAGTCAAGACGACATTATCAAGGCGTGTGACAGTGCTGCCAGGACCAGTATTGTTGCTGTCATCTGATGAATCTTTTATAAAATCACAACACAGAAAACAAATCAAAAGAGCACATGCAAATAATTTGAAAAGAGAGGGGATAATAGTATAATACAGTTAATAACTTAATAGTACTTAATACTATAATAGCCCAAGTAATGATGAGAGTGCTGAGACCACCAGATCATGTTGCCTCAAGACAAGGTCGTTCAGAAGATCATGGCATTTGTTGGCACCCTCTCTCTCTCTCTCTCTCTCTCTCTCTCTCTCTCTCTCTCTCTCTCTCTCTCTCTCTCTCTCTCTCTCTCTCTCTCTC